CTTACTGGGTTCCACGTGGTGCTTGTGGCAAGAGGCCGCACTACCAATGAACAGGTATGTGTACTGGCTGATGTGTGGTGCTTAGCTGGTGTCAGACCATTGGGATGGCTTCTGGAGCTTCCTTCCACAAGATAGACATAGGGTGGATTGAGCAAGGGAATTCTGCTAAGATAGTTGAGGGAGGAGTGCCATCAGAGTGTGAGAGGAGTTTGAGCTCACCTCATTTGTGCAGCCTGGAGAAATGGGATCTCATTGCTGTTATTTGAGGGGTGGTCGTGGGTAAGAAGGAGCCCAGCAGGCCCTTAAGAACGGGCAGTGGAAGGGCAGGAAGCAATGGGTGCAGCTTGAACCAAGGCAGTTTCCAATTAGACATTGAGGAAACTCTTCTTCCATGAGAACAGTCCTAACACTGGAACAGGGGCCTGGAAATGGGGCAGTCTCCATCCTTGGCACTACTCAACAATTGTGCTGGTCACATTCTGAGCACCTTGACCTGGTTGGCCTTGGGGGTGGGGGTGGACAAGAGACCTCCTGTGGCTGCCACCCACACCAATGCGATGCTCCCATCTTGCAGGTGACAGGCAAGTTCCGAGGTGGTGTCAACCCCTTCACTAATGGTTGCTGTAAGAATGTGAGCCGGGTCCTGTGTAGCTCCCCAGCCCCCAGGTAAGTGTGGTGGTGCTGCTCCAGCCCTCCAATACCCAACTTAAGCACCCCCAGCTATGGGCCTTCACCACATTCTCTGCCCTGAATCCCTGGGTTCTGGCAGGTACCTGGGGCGCCCAAGGGCTGAGCAGACGGTGCTGGTAAGACCCCCCTTCCTGCGGCCCGAGGTGTCAGATGGCCAAATCACTGTCAAGATCATGGACAACGGTATCCAGACAGAGCTGAAGAGGACGAAGGTGAGGAAGGGGGGAATCAGCATTCCCCACACTGGGGTCCTGCGTGGAGCCCAGGGGTGCAAGCCTGCATCCGTGAGTAAAGAATCGAGTGAGCCTTGTCACATTCCACCTCCTCCATGTTGTCCTGTTCTGTGTCCCCTTGGGATAGAAATTACATCCCTCCTATGTGGTAATGACCACATGAGGCTTTGCATACTCCATCGCCCTTCCCTATCCCGTCCTTCACCCTTGCAGCATTGTTTGGAGGTTTCCCTTTCCACGGCACTTCCCAGCACATGGGGCATGTGCTGCCCTCAAGCGCTCAGGATGTTGGACGGGCCCAGGGGCACTATGGGCCCTGTAACGCCATTGCATGCCCCCTGCCTGCTAAGGGGAGGGCTGAGGCCTTGGTGCCTTGCTGACCCTTTGCGCTTTGTCTCTGCAGTCCAAAGGAAGCCTGGAGGTGACGGAGAGCCAGTCTGCTGATGCCGAACCGCCACCCCCACCTAAGCCAGACCTCAGCCGCTACACGGGCCTGAGGACACACTTAACCCTGGCCACCAATGAGGGTAAGGAGGGCATGCAGGGTCCAAGCCAGCCGCTGGGAGGGAAGCCCGGGGCTGTGCCCAGCAGACCAGGAGCCAGGGCTGCAGGAACAGGCTGCGTGGTAGACCTGAAGCACGTCAGCACCGCCACATTGTGGAACAGGGTGCGCCCATGTCTCCGGGCTGCTACACGCAACCCTTATGACTGGAGAAGCCTGTGGGATGCTTCCAGCCGGCTCTAATCCATCAGAAAAGAGCAGGAAGCCAAGCTGAGACCACTGCTTGGCAATGAGGTGCTTGTCCTGAGCCACTGAGATGCTGTGGGCAGGCTTATGGGCTGTTGTGCTGTAGATGGGCACAGGAGCGCAGCCAGGATGGAGGAGGAGAAGGAATGGCAGGCTTGGCTTGGTGGCAAAGGTTGTGTTTGTTGCAGCCTGCGTGACTTGCATGCCCTGCTTCCCTGAGCACTAGCGAAACAGTGCTCAGAAACACCTGCGCTGGCTTTGCAAGAGAGGTGGGATGTGAACAGGGCTGCTACCGGGACAGAAGTGCCTGCCTGAAACACTGTGCTGTGGGGACCCATTTTCCATCCCACTCCATTTCATCCATTCCTGGAGCACTTCCCCCCACCCTGTTCCTCTTGCCTTCACCTCCATGGTCTGTCCTCCTAAGGCTCAGAGCCGGTTCTGGGGAAGGGAGGGAGGACTCCATGCAGCATTTGCATTAGTGGCCATACGTGTGAGTGTCTTTCTCTCTTCCCCTGCCTGCAGACAGCAGCTTGCTAGGCAAGGACAGCCCCCCGACACCCACCATGTACAAGTACCGGCCTGGATACAGCAGCAGCAGCAGCTCGGCTGCCCTGCCCCATTCCACCAGCGCCAAGGTAAAGCTGTGCACGTGGCTGGCTGACAGGCAGCACTCATAGGGGGCTGCTATTGTGCTCTTTGCTGAGGCTTTCTGGGTGGTGGGTTTGGGGTGGGCGTTAAGAATTTTGGGGGCCCCTACGTTCCCAGGAGTGACTGCTGTGTTCCTGTCCCATAGCTGAGCCGAGTAAACAGCCTGAAGGAGCCCAACTCCATCGGCGAGGGCGGCCGCAAGCCCAGCTACCGCTCAGAACCGAGCCTGGAGCCTGAGAGCTTCCGCTCGCCCACTTTTGGCAAGAGCTTTCCCTTCGACCCGCTGTCCAGTGGCTCCCGCTCCTCCAGCCTCAAGTCAGCCCAGGGCACGGGCTTTGAACTGGGCCACCTGCAGTCCATCCGCTCTGAGGGCACCACCTCCACCTCCTACAAGAGCCTGGTGAACCAGACACGCAATGGGAGCCTGTCGTATGACAGCCTGCTCACACCTTCCGACAGCCCCGACTTTGAGTCGGTGCAGGCCGGCCCTGAGCCCGACCCACCGGTGGGCTACACATCACCCTTCCTCTCGGCCCGCATCGCCCAGCAGCGAGAGACCGACCTGCACGGCCGCTTTGCTGCCGCTGTCTCACCCAAGCATGTGCCACCCCGCGAGCCCTCACCCGTGCGCTATGACAATCTCTCCCGCCACATCGTGGCTTCCATCCAGGAGCGGGAGAAACTGCTCCAGCAGCCGCCCGCAGCGGGCAGGGAGGACGATGCTGGGCTGGCAGACTCGGGCATCCAGTCGACGCCAGGCTCCAGCAATGCGCCCCGCACCAGCTCTTCCTCGGACGATTCGAAGCGCTCGCCTCTGGGCAAGAATCCGCTCACCCGCCCGGCCCCTCCCCGCTTTGGCAAGCCTGAGCCCTCCCATGTGCTGCGGGTGCGCTCCCTGGGCTCTCCTGAGCAGCCCGCTGCCCCCCACTTGGGCAAATCTGTGTCTTACAGCAGCCAAAAACCAGCAGCGTCTCAGGCCAGCGTCCCCGAGACCGAGGAGGTGGCCTTGCAGCCGTTACTGGCACCAAAGTGAGTTTTGGCACTGTCTGCCCCGCACGGCGTGCACTGCAGCTCCTCACTGGGGGGGATGCAGGGAGGGCTGGGTGTGAGTCCTGCTGGCACAGAGCTGTTGCTGTCCCTGGGAAACTTCATGGGCTTGTTGGTGGGCTTGGGGGACGTTTGGGCTGCCTTGTGTCCCTGGGGAAGGCAGGGCTGCATCTTTGCTCAGCTGTGCTGGGATCCTACTCTCCCCTTTCCCACTGCCCTGTGCCCCATGCTTTGCCACGCTCCATCCCTGTGCTCACCTTCTCACCCCGTGTGCTTGCTTCCCTTCCTAGAGACGAGATGCAGATGAGAACATCCTACAGCAAGTCCAATGGGCAACCCAAGAGCCTGAGCTCGGTCACCCCCGGCTCGGGATCCGTGCCTGTCAGCAGCCCCACGCGTGGAGGAGTCAAGAAGGTTTCTGGCGTGGGGGGCACCACGTACGAGATCTCAGTATGAGGGGCAGAGCTGCTCGCCTGCTCACCTCCTGGCTGGGCACCTGCTGGCACCAGAGGGCTCCATGGGCACAGATGCTCTGCAGCCCCCAGCTGACAGGGACAAGGAGATGGGCCGGAAGCCCCAGGGTTTTTTTCTCCCTTTTTCCACCCCTCCCTGGGACTCAGGCGCTGACTCACACCCCGGCAGGACTGTGTGGGGCAGGGATGCTGCCCTGGCCAGGTGTGGGGGCCATGGGGGGGCTGTGTCCCGCAGCCTCGCGCCCTGCCACCACTGGCCGGGCAGCCACTTGTGGGCCTTGTGCAATCAATCGCTCGCCTAGCGTGGTAGGAATGGATTGTTTTTAAACCAGAATAACTTTTTTTTATTATTATTGTTACGGATTCTATTTTTTTCTCTTTCTGAGTTACCAGGTGTGTGTATATATAAATATCTATATATATAAATATAAATATTAAAAAAAAAGAAAAAAAAAAGCAGAAATTATATATCTTACCCAGAGAGAGGAAGAAACCACCCATTCCCCTTCCCCATCTGAGCCACCATCTCGCAGAGTCCAGGGCCAGGGCCCCTGTGCTCAAGTGACAAGAAGGAGGATACATTCAGGGGCTCCTAGCACCTGGGGTCATGGGGTGCCAATGCCACACTGGGACTTGGGGGATCCTGAAGCCCCCTGCTGGGTTCTATCAGGCTGCAGGCTCCCCTCCTGGGTGCTTGGATTTGGAGCCCCTGTGCCTGGCATCTCCCCACTGGCTACATAGGTGGTGTGAAGCAGGTGATGGCTGGGGGAGCTGCTGGTGTGCAGGAGCAGGTGAGGGCTGCAGCCTTTCTGCACCTGCAGATTTTGCTATATATTTTGTTTTTTTTTTTTAGTGTTTCCCCAGGGTTTGTGGTTTTTTTTTTTTTTTTTAATTTTTTACTATTATTTTTTTAATGGGTGATCAGGTTTTCTGGCTGTCATGTGGTTGTTTTTATTTCCATTTGGGGAAGAGGAAGGCCAGTGAGGCACATCCCTGTCAAGCAATATTTTCTCATCACATGCCAAAAACACAGCCAAGGAGCCCAGTGCTGTCCCTCCACCCCCAACCCTGCTGGGGAGCCCACCCCGCACCGGGCCCACGCAACTTCACGCACTACTTGACTCTTTCTCTATGGCAATATCTCTCCTGTGGCCTCTGCAGAGCCATGCCATTGTTTTTTTTATTATTATTAGCCATTTTAAAAACGAGGAATAAAAGGATATTTAATGAGCCACCTCAGTGGGCATGCGTGTGCTTTGTGTGGTGTCCAGGGATGGAGGATTCCCTGAAGGCCCCTGTCCTTCACTTCTCAGCTTTCCCTTCCTCCTCTGGAGTGGAAAGGAAGGGGGCCAAGGAGAGCTGGGCCTAGCCTCACAGGGCTGCTACACCACCTTTGGCCTCGCAGCTGAGATGAGCTTCCTCAGGACACTTTGGGGCACAGCGCTCCCACTGCAGGTAAGTGGAGCTGTCAGGGTCCTAAGCAGGAATATGTCCCAGGACTCAGTGAGACTCTGGCTCTTCTGTGGTAGCCCCCACAGGGGCAGCCCTGGGGGACACAGTGCTGTACCGAGGTCACTTGTGTCCTCCTGCCCCCTTTTCTTCACAGCCCAGAAAACTGCAAGGGCTGGAGTATGATGGGGCTGAGCCAAGGCTTCTGCTCCTTGCCCTGCCCCGCTGGCCAACAGTCAGAGCCGCCACTGGCACCAGCTCTTCCTCAGAGCAGACTTTAATTAAAAGGTGAATAAAAAAGAGAGATCCCAATGCACCATGTTGTTTAAGTATAAGAGGCCAACGGTAGGAACCCCAATTCCAGCAGTGTCCGTGTCATCAGCTCCCCATCGGCCACACAGTGCAAGCAGGGGGGTTGTAGGTCCATGCTCTCTGCAAGTGGGGGCCATGACTGCCCACACTTCCCCACTGTGCTCTGTGAGAGGGATGAGTCCACAGCAGGCAGCTGGGGCTGGGAGTTCCATTGAACTGCACAGTGCAGCCTCACCGCAGGCTGCTGCTGCTGCTGGCCTGCGAGCTGCCCACCCCTGGGTGCTCGGGGCTGTGTCGGTTCTGCAGAAGAAGGATAGGCATGAGGCCTTGTGAAACTGTGGTGGTGCCAAGCACTGCTGGGGCCAAATGCATGGAGCTTCCCAACTCCAGCCCGGCAGAGGTCTGGGGCAGGCAGAGCAAAGCAGCGCATGGGCTCCCAACCTACCTTTTTTTTCTTTTTCTCCTTCTTCTTCCTTTTCCGCTCTGGATCCTCCTCTTTCTTCTTCTTCTTCTTCTTGTGGTCTGAGTCCGAGGGGGTTTCTGCAGGAAGCAGAGGTGGGATGAGCGTGGTGCAGTTAGCAGTGCACACGGCCTGCTGGGCACAGTCCTACCTGGGGGGACGGGGTCCTGCGTGCGGCTCTGCTTGTGCTTGTGCTTGTTCTTCTTCTTGGGCGGCTGGATGTGCATCAGGCGGCACTGCTCCGGCAGCTGCAGGGGCTGAGGTCAGAGGGCCCTCACCTTACTCCCAACCCCCCCGGCCCTCCCCAGGCGCTCACCGGGCCGGCGTGCAGGCGGAAGCCGGTCAGCATGGTGCCGGTAAGGGGCGTGAAGGAGCTGCCGCAGATGGGCGGCTTCTCGATGAGGGAGCGTAGGCTGCTGTTGTCGTGGGAGCCGGGCAAGTCGATCATGCCGGGCAGGTCGGGGAGGAAGTTACTGAGCTTCTCCTTCACCTTCTTGCCGCAGAACTTGTTGTAGGCGTGCTCCAGGTTGTAGTGCGTGATCAGGTTGGTGCTGCCCGTCAGCTCCGTGCTGCCTGCGGGCGGACGGGCCCCTCAGCGCCCTGCGCCTCGGCCTCACGCGCCCATTGGCCTCGCGAGCTGTCATTCCGCGCCTCCCGCCCGCTCCCTCTCTTCTCATTGGCCCCGAGCGCCACCCGTCACGCCGCAGCCCGCCCCTCCCACGGCCCGGCCCGCACCTGGCAGCTCCCGCAGCAGGTAGAAGGGGCCGGCGGCGGCCTTGCGGGCCGCGTCCTCGCCCGGCGGCGGCACGGCGGCGGCGGGCGGCGGCGCGGCCCCTGCTCCCGCCGCTTTGGCGGGCCCGAAGCCCAGGGCGGCGGCCGCGGTGGCGGGCGGCGGCTCGGCCCCGCCGAACAGCGCCGAGAAGTTCTCCATCTTCCCGGCCTGCCCCGCGCGGGGCCGCCCCGCCCCCGCCGCGCACCGATTGGTCGGGCGCCGCCCCCGTTGCTAAGGGAGACGAGGGTTCAGCCTTTCGATTGGCCGCTTCTCTCTTCCCCCGTCATTGGTCCGCGGCGCTGAGAGTTCTCGTCGCTGCCGCTCGCGATTGGTCAGCGGGAAGGACGTCCCGCCCCGCGCGGACGTGCGGGCAGTCCGCCCAATGGGAACGCGGCGGACGGTCGCCGGAGGACAAGATGGCGGTGCTGGCCCCGCTGCTGGCGCTGATCTACTCGGTGCCGGGGTTGTGCCGCTGGCTGGCGCGGCCCTACTATCCGCTGTCTGCGTTGCTCGCCACCGCCTTCCTGCTCGTCCGTAAGGTCCCGCCGCTGTGCCGCGGGCTGCCCTCGCAGCGGGAGGATGGCAACCCCTGCGACTTCGACTGGGTGAGCGGCCCTGCCGACGGCGCGGGGCTGCCGGCCGCCTGGCGCTGTCCTGCCCGGCCATCCTGAGCCCGGGGCTCCTCGGGCATCGCTGGGGCTGGGTGCCGCAGAGGCGGCCCCTCTGTGTGCAGCCCCGGCTCGGTTACCGAGGGCAGGCGGAGGCTGGAGGCCGGCGCGGCCTGGTGCGCTGCTCACCCTTGTGCAGGGAGCGCTCCGAGCGGGGGAGGGCGGTCCGGCCTTGGCTGTGCTGCAGGGCTGATCGGCTGCTCCCGGGGTGGTGGCCGTGGTTCTCGGGGTGCCCCGCTCACAGCATCTCTCTCCTGTGCAGCGAGAGGTGGAGATCCTCATGTTCCTCAGCGCCATCGTGATGATGAAGAACCGTCGCTCCAGTGAGTGGGGGCTACGCTGGGGGTTGGGGAGGGGGGGAGTGTGGAAGCTGCTTGTGGGGCATCTCTGTGGGGGTGGGGGTACTGTGGAGGAACAGAGGAAACGGGTGGGGGCAGGAGATGGAGAGAAAAAGGAGACGCGGCCTCATCTCTGACTTCTTTCCTCCTTCCCAGTCACTGTGGAGCAGCACATTGGGAACATCTTCATGTTCAGCAAAGTAGCAAATGCCATCCTCTTCTTCCGTCTTGACATCCGCATGGGTCTGCTCTACCTCACGCTCTGCATTGGTGAGACCTGTGGGGGAGTGGAGGGGATCCACAATACAGCAGTGCTCCTGGCAGGCCTTGTCTTGGCCCATCCTGTGCATCACCTGTCTGAGATGGGGCTGGAACCATCTTGCCTTGTGCTGTTGGTGCTCTTTGTAGTCATATAGGCTGTACTGGGGAAGGAGGAGCCTCCTCCAGACTAAGCCTGGGTCTTTGGGGTGTTTCAGAAGTGGGAAAAGGGGGGCAGAGGTCTTTCTCCAGGTGGGCACTGGGCTCAGGGATGCTGTTGTTGCAGTGTTCCTGATGACCTGCAAGCCGCCCCTTTACATGGGACCTGAGTATATCAAGTACTTCAGTGATAAGACCATAGACGTAAGTATCTCCTGCCCACTCTGGGTTGGCATGGGTGCTGGGCTCCCGGCCTACCATCTCTTGTTGACCCACACGGCCCTGTGGCAGGAGGAGCTGGAACGGGACAAGCGGGTGACATGGATTGTTGAGTTCTTTGCCAACTGGTCCAGTGAGTGCCAGTCCTTTGCCCCCATCTTTGCTGACCTCTCTCTCAAGTGAGTGATGCCATTTAGAGGCCTTGGTGAGTCGTCCCCATCCCAGTGGTCACTCATAGCACTCAGAGCTGTGTTCCACCTCCCAGGTACAACTGTTCGGGGCTGCATTTTGGGAAGGTGGATGTTGGCCGATACACAGATGTCAGCACCAGGTCTGTGGGGCAGAGGGGGTAGGGGGAAGCACCAGGCCTTCCAAATGCCTTGGTATCATTGTCTGCCTCTTGCCCTATTCCTGCAGGTACAAGGTGAGCACCTCACCCCTCACCAAGCAGCTGCCCACCCTCATCCTCTTCCAGGGTGGGACAGAGATCATGCGTCGCCCACAGATTGACAAGAAGGGCCGGGCCGTTTCCTGGACCTTCTCTGAGGTACATAAGGGGCAGAAGGATGTTCCATGCCCAGAGGATAGGATGTGCTCAGCATCTCCTCACAGGCGGCCATGGGAAGTGGGGGCTAGCAGGACATCACTGCTGTTGCTAATGCTGTGCTCCTGCTGCAGGAGAATGTGATCCGGGAGTTCAACCTCAATGAGCTCTACCAGAAAGCCAAGAAGCAGTCGAAGCCACGGGATGAAGGCTCCGAGGAGCTACCAGAGGGGCAAGCAGCAGCTGGCCTTGCCAATGGGGAGACGAAGAAAGAGAAGTAGGAACTGCCTGCATTCTCACCTGTCACCACTCCACCGTCCCCTGCGGCTGGGGACCAGGCAGTGCCGGCTGGGGGGCCCTGCACGTAGCACTGAGCCCGGGGGCCGCCGCTCCCTCTGCCCGTGTTGGCCGGGGCCCGTGCTAGCCTTCGGCCCCGCCGGTTCCTGGGAAGGGTAGAGCCAGGAGCCGGGCCTACGCTTCGCGCGTATCCTTCGGCTGACAATAAACGTTCTGTGCGCGTCCCCGTGTCCGCTCCGTGCCTCTGCCCGCGGGTTGGCCACCAGGCGGGGGGCGGGGCTGCCTCCAGCGTCCCGTGCGCTGATTGGCTCCCTCAGCGGAAGCGCCGGGGAACGGAGCCCGCGCGCAGCATTGTTGCGGCAGCCCGCAGCGCGGCGGCGGAGCGCGGCACGTGGCGGCGGGAGCGGGACGCGGAATGGCTCCGGGCGGCAGGAAGCGCGCCAAGCGGCGGCCGGCCGAGCCGGAGACGCAGGCGGATCCCCCCGAGAAGCGGCCCCGCGGCAAGGCCGAGGGTAGCCCCGGGGACAGCGGCGGCCCCCGCGTCGTCATCGAGCACTGGTAGGTGAGCGCCGGTGGGAGA